CTCTCTTTAAGGAACTCCACAAAAAAGTCTCATAACTTTAAAAGAAGGGGTGCCTCCTTATAAAGGGAGTCACAATGACCTGGCCCGGATAACTATTAACCAAAAATACAAGTATCTGCAAAGTCGTAAGACCATGTATAGGGGCTGACGCCTACCCAATGTCGAAAAGTCAAGGAAGTTAATGACCTGATGACAGGGGAGCCGGTGACCGAAGCTCTAATAAACGGTGGTCGTAACTATAATGGTCCTAAGGTAGCGAAATATCTTGTCGAGTAAGTTCCGACCCACACAAATGGCGTAATGATCTAGGCACTATCTCGGATAAGGGCTCGATGAAATAAACATGTCTGTGAAGATACAGACTACCCGCACCTGGATAGAAAATGAGCTCACATCGACGGGAAGGTTTGACACCTTAATAACAGCTATTCACCACCTGGGGTTCTAGTATGTTCCAAGGGTTGGATTGTTTGCCCATTAAAGCAGTACGTGAGCTGGCTTCAGAACGTCGTGAGATAGTTTGGTCCATATCTGGTGTGGGTATTAAAGCATTGAGAGGACCTTTCCCTAGTACGAGAAGATCAGGAAGGACACACCTCTAGTGTACCAGTTATTATGCTTACGGTAAACGCTGGGTAGCAAAGTGCGGAGCGGATAACTGCTGAAAGCATCTAAGTAGTAAGCTCACTCCAAGATGAGTGCTCTCCTATTCCGACTTCCTTAAAGCCTCTGATAGCACAGCCGATACAACAACGAGTTCTCTACCCTTGCGGGGATGGAGTGACAGAAGTTTTGATAATTCAATAGAATGTCACAGCAAGGCGAGCCATTTATCATTACGATAGGTGTCAAGTGGAAGTGCAGTGATGTATGCAACTGAGGCATTTTAACAGACTGGTAGACTTGAACCTTGTTCTCACATAACCCGATTAATTCAATTAGGCACTCGCCATCTATTTTCATTATTCAACTCTTTGACAACATTAATCATTGCTTAATCTTTAATTCAATGAAAACAAAAACAAATAGGTTTTTCTGATTTCATTCAATTTAGATTAAAGTAATATGAGGTTAATCTTTAGTTCAATGAAAACTTTAGTGGTTAAAACTACCACAACGTCTCTTTGTTTTGTCATAAAGAATTTCCGAAGTCAGTCCTTTTTTATTTTCTTTTTTCATGTATGTTGGAATAAAGTGTCTTTTTTCTTCTTTTAACTTTTTTTCCCCAAAAAAAAAAAGAAGATTCTGTATGTACATGATGAGTACAAGGCGGACTCTGGTTTATTAGAAAATAATTAAAAAGGAACATTCTTATTTTTGTTTTATACATATTAAAGGCAAGCTTGCTTGGAAAACATTTATAAAACCATATATATATATATACATATTATAAAACCAGATAATCACATGGTCATACTATAAGATACATGCAAGTTTTATCTAAATATTATAATTCATTGTTTTATTTTCTTTAAATATTCGGTATTTTATGGTACAAATGCTTATTAGAAGAAAAAAAAAAGTAAATTTTAGTTTCACCGCTTCTAATTTGATTAAACTACACCTAACAAATATGCGGGGCTTTTTTTTTTTTTTTTTCTTTTTTGTACTCGTATAGAAATATAAGGTTTTGAATTAGAAAACTTTAACCATATTAAATTGAAATTTAATCATTAAAAAATTAAATTTTTATTTTTATTTTTATTTATTTTTAAAAAAACTCTTCGTAGCATATATATACATATATATAGGTGTGTATATATCAGTAGGTCGTAATCAAATAAATTTCTCTTCCTTTTCTTTAACAATTTCCAGACATTAGCGTTACAATTATGTTAAATATTATTGGATAATAAATAATTATTATCTGTATATTTCAAATTCAAATGCATTATGTGTATGAATTTGAAACCATACTCAGGAAATACAAGACAAGTAAGCCCATTAAATGATGCCCCCATTGGGCCCATTTGCTTGTTATGCCGAATCCTCCTGTAAATAAAATTTCCAATTAAATTAAATATATTTCTACAATTTTTATGAATTTATTTTAAATGTAACCTCAGATTTAAACTTCTAAAACACGTATTTCATGCGGCTATAAGATTTACAGAGGAAGAAAATAAATTATATGTGATTATAAACTTTTTAATAAAAAAAAAAAGGAAAATAATCAGATTTGTTTTGAAGGTAGATTGCATATTCTAAATTTTAATTTTATTGATTTTATTTTATGTGATTATAAGCTTTTAAATAAATAAAATAATCATATTGAATTTAGACCTAAAAGAATTAGATAATTGGGTTGAAGCCCAACTTAGAAGAAATCAAACGACGTCGTGTTCGTCTGGATTCCAGATCCTTCCAAGCGTATTCGAATTCAAATAATTTGTATTATAATATTTTAAAAAATAAAATAAATAATCGAAGGGCTGACCGCCCGATGCAAAGAAATAGGTTGACCGACTTTCCTACCCCGTCTCTCTTGACGGCAACGACATTCCGCGCTACCCTGACCGACACGTATACCTCTCGAGTTGCTCCAGCTGTTATTAAAACTTGTGGACCCCACTGATGATGGCCTTTTCCGTAAAATTACTAAATTGCCCGTGATAGGAAATTCACGTGTTGGTGGTGCTCTGTTCCCCTCACTTTGGCTTTTTGTTTTCCTTACGCCATCAAAAGGAGCTTTTTTCATTTACTACGTGGCCTAAATGTACTGGTCAAAGTAAAAAAATCAAAGCCTTTTTTTTTCCCCTATTAAAAAATTTACAATTTATTTTATTTTAAATCATATTTTATGCTATAAACACTAATTTAACTAATTAATTTAAATAGTTAGTCAAATTTATTTTTTTAAACTTCTAAATATGAAATCTAATAATGAAAAAATATTAAATATTAAATAAATGCGAATAGTCAAATAGTTTTTTACTTTTAAAGATGTATTTGTTGAAGAATGAGGATGGAGACCGATTCAACTAATAATTATTTTAATTTTTTCTTTTAGTTAATTTTGAAAAAAGTTAGTGGTCAAAATTCAAATATGCTAAAGTATCTGGGTCATTTTGAAAAACAAAAAAAAAAAAAAAAAAGTAAGAAAAAGGAAAAGTCGACGAAATGATGATGATGGTAGGCGGCATTTGCGAGAAAGTAAATGGCATTACCGTAATTAAAGTAAAAACCAGGGGGAGATAAGTAAGGGCGGGGATAATTATGCCCCTGGGTCTTGTAACCACGTCAGATTGACATTTTTATTTATTTTATTTTTTTTTAAGGAGTTTTTAACAAATTTAGAAACCATAGTTTTTGGTTTTGGTGGGCTCCTTCCATTAATGACTATCCCCCACCTTCCCACGCGCCTAACCGTCTCTTGAAGTACACCTTAAGTATTATCTTCTAATAATAATAATCTCAAGCTTTTTCTGTAATTTACTTTATGACGTAATAATTAACGGAAATTATGATTAGTAATTATAAGATTAAAATTAAAAATTGTAAATAAATTTTATTTTTATTAATCTTGCGAGCTAAAATTGATTAATATGTTAAAATGATTTGAATAGTAACATTTTTAATTTATGAACAATGAATTTTATCTCATCTTTATTAAAATTTAAACTTCATATGATATGATTGTGTAAATTAACATTATCTTCTTTCACATGTATGTGTGTGTGTGTATTTGTGCGTATACGTAAATCCACACATACACACATATGTATTAAAAATACTGTATTTTATTTTAGAATTTTGTACTTCACAATAAAAAATATTAATTTATGAAAAACATCGAACATATTAGTATTTATCGTATCAAATTAACATGCATATATTTGACTTTCATATTAAATTTTCATTGTTTTATCAATTTTATATTATTTTTATGATATATTTTTATTACTCGAACTTATATAAAAAGATATAAAGTTAATGAGAAAATATTCCTACATTAATTTACATAATGTAATAAAATATACTAAATGAACAAATGATAATATATCCATAAAAATTAAAGTGAGTTACTTGCTAAAAGATTACGAGAACAAAGAGAATAAATAATGGTGGTGCCCTAATTCGTATCTTGCTCTCATGTCCTAATTCGGTAATTTCAAAAAAAATATTTTATATCTTAATATAGTTAAGTAGTGTTGAATATTTATTTATTTATTTATTAATCTGATTTGAATGAAGTTGTTAATTGTTGAGTGAAAAGTTATAATTTTAACTAAAATTTGAATGCTAAAATTATTTGACGTAATTAGGATAAGCTCTAAAACAAAATTTTACATTGGATGTATGTATACATACACGCGGATCCGTGTATATAGGTATTATGATACAAAAAAAAAAAAAAAAATTATTTTGTTATTATTTATATTACGTATATTAATAATTTAAATTAATTTTTAAAGTAAAATTAAATAATTAAATTAACATGTATGTACATTTAGCTAAGATTTATTACTTTTAAATTATTTTACGTGTGCAAAAAAAAAAACTCATATTTTAACAAATGCATTAAAGTTTAATATTAATGACCCATATACTTTTAAATATATATAATAAAATTAATAATTTGGTATGCTAATATTAAAACCCAACAATAACCTCCATAGTTTACTAGCGTGTTCCAGTTGGATAATTAAAAATAATAATAATAATATATATTTATTGATATGTAAAATATAGAGGAGGAGATGTTTATTTATTTTAAAATTAGGATTTGAACAAAGTTGTTAATTGTTGGGTATGATTAAAATTTGAATGCTAATGAGGATAAATTATAAAACAAAATATTTAAACTAAAACAAAATATTTGTTATTAGTTACAAGAAGAAGATTAGAGAAATATCAAAATCTGGTCATGCAAATTAAAAAAAAAAAAAAAAGGAGGACACCGTGTACCGCACGGACTAGGAAGAGAGTGGTTATTAACCGTCTCTCACACTCTTAAGCAGCGCTATAAAATCCCTACTCCGCCCATTCAACTCGTTCTAAATCACATAATTTTATTTTCTTCTCTTCTTCTTTTCTTTTATTTTCTCCTCTCTGTGCAGCCTGTAAATTTTTCATCTCTCTTCGAAACTTTGATCCGACTCTCTTCCCTGTCCAGCTAAAAAGCTTTAACGCTCTCCTCCCCTCTCCTCGGAAACCTCTTTCTCCATATTCAAATCCGTCTTCGATCTCTTATTCTTTGTTTCGATCTTGTTTTTTTAGCTTCGATCATGGGTGTTGCCGTTCTTAATCCCCAAGATTGTTTGAGAGATCCTTTCTCCAAACAGAACCTGATTTCTCCTCATATGAAACATCCCCGAAACCCTAACACTAACCCGAACAGGTTAAACCGGAACCATGCGAGCCGCGGGAAGCGGGGTCTGAACCGGTCGCAGAACAACTCGCCTCCGGCACGCGCGGTGGTGCCTCCGAGAAACCCTAGCAAGAACCTCGCCATGGGTCAGGTCAAGATCCTGAAACGGGGTGAAGAACTCAACAAAACGGTGCCGGATCCGGTCAGTGAGACCAAGAAAATTAAGACCCGAGAGGTTCCGGGTCTGTCCTCCACTGAACCACCAACTCCGAAGCCTGAGACGGAGCCTGAGTTGGTTTCGACTCGAACTGAGTCGGTCCCAGTCTCCCCGCTCTACTATGCGGGATCTGCCTTTTTTGCTTCTCCCCCACCGAGTTCTCTTCCAGTTCCTGCCTTCTTCAGCAAGAAGACGATCAGTGGCAACAGATACGACGACGCTACAAGTAATTTGATAAGGATTTTGCGTTTGGATCTTGCTTAAGAGTTGGATCTGTGATGGATGGGTTTTAAGTTTTATCTATGTCTTTTTCCGCTTGTTTGGGTTCGCTAATCATCGTTCTTCTCTTATTTTTTCAACGGGAAGATCGAGTTGGCTGACTCAATTTACTTCTGAGCTCTGCAACTAAGCAAAGCTTGCGGTACTTGTGGGTTTTTAGGTTTTTAGATGTTTGATAGACATTTGCTTGTATAGGTTTTCTTTCTTTGGCTTGTTTCTTTGTTTTTCTTTTCTTTTTTTTCTCTTAGGTAAAGCTTTACAGTTTATGGTATTTTCATCTTCGTTATGGTAGATAAGTGGGAAGGGTATGTCAGATTTGTAATATGCTATCTTATATCTTAGCTATATCGTTGTAGGTTTAGAAGATGTGCAAATCTGTAATCATGTTTCTGTTGTAGTAGTTTTACATTATGGAAATAATAAAAAAATAAAAAAAAAAAAAGTATATTTTCTTAGTAGAACTGAAATCTCGTTATCCCTTCCCCCCCACCAATTTCCGCCATTGATGATGATTCTTGCAGGTCTAACTAGGCGAGCGTGGTCAGAGGAATTGAAAAAACGGTGTCGTTTTCGTTTGTCTTGTGATTCACGGTTGGAAATATTAAAATTGATTTTATTGAATATTTAATTAAGTCATAATGAAGAGACGAATTCAGTATGAGCATTGGGTGATGAATTTACAATATTGTCCCTCCTGTTGAGAAAATGGATGGGCCGGGTTAAAGAGAAAAGGCTCATTGGGCCGACCCATCATATGCTTGAGATTGGGCGAGGATTTTAATAAAATCTAAGATAATGAGGATTCTTATGTTATGGTCGAATAGATGTGAATATATATTTTCAGACACTGAAAACATATGGGAATTTATAGCACAATGAAATTCTCTTATTTAAAATATTTACATAGTAATCATGATTTTATCTCTAAATTAATTCAATGAAGATCTGATTTCTCTAATCTAATCTTTTGTTATTTTGCATAAGAGTATCTTGTACTCTTTTATTTTAACTTATTAAGCATTATATATATATATATATATATATATTTTTAATAAATAAAGAAGTAACCATATGCAGAGCTACTTTTAACTATAAAAAATATGGAGAATTAATTTGTTAATGATGAGAAAAATATTTAAATAAAGTCGCAATAAATAGTGAATAATTTGATTATGGGAAAAAAAATTAAATTGTTTGGATTATGTGATTCTACTTTTTATTTTTTATTTTCACAGGCCAAACAGGGAAGAGAATCTGAAACGTGTTCTCGCCGAAAGGCACACTTGTCACCCACGCCACCGCTTCTAATCATTCTGTGTGCCGGATTGGAATGGACTTTCACACGTGCCAGGTTGTTCAAATTACTCTTCCTAATATTTAACTTTTGAAACGTAAATTATTTATGAGTAATTAAAATTATAAAAGAACAGTTATTTTTCACATACTATATTGTTGTTTTTTTTTTTACGTAATTTTTATAATGGATTTAAAAAAAAATGAATTGTGCTCGAAAATTTACAAAATATAATATTATTTACTTAAATTTTTAAATAATAATAATAATATCTCTACTGAAAAAAATATATATATACAAAACTTTAAATAAGATATTGTAAAAATAAACTACGAATCATGAATACGTGGGCAGAGGAGCGGAGAAGGTTAGTCTAAAATTATTATAACATTTTTTTTTTTTTTTGTAACAAAATATTATATATAATGCTAATTGAAATATCTAAAATAAATATTTTCCTAAAAATTCCTATAATTAAATTCATGGTATAATTTTTAAATCATTTGAGTAATATTTTGTCAGTCTACGAATTAATTCTTTTATGGTATAACGATTAGGTTAGTCCGCATAATAGTTGTTTGTGTGAGAGTTATAATTAAATATATATATATTTTATTTAAAAATTAGAGTTAATTGTATATTTAATTAATTCAATGACAATATATATACATAAATTATAATTATACATATAAAATAAGTGAAGTACATTAATACCCTCATACATGATGACGTGGCAGGAATTGATGTGGAAATTCAGTTTGAGTCATAAATCTGTGAAACTGGGAAAGATCAGTAAACGGGTCGGTGTTCGGTAATCAGTTTAAGCAACATACACACAACCGCAAAGTACAACGATAACCTCTCTCTCTCTCTCTCTCTCTCTCTCATTTAACAAATCAAAATTGTTAAAAGAGTACTAATTTTTATTTGTATTTATTACTTTCCAGTAAAATAAATAAATAAATAAATTCAATTTATTAATTATTTTAAAATTGAATAATTAGTCATAATATTATATTTTTTACCCTTTTAAATTTAGTCATAAAAGTGCTAGATAACATTAAATTGGACTCCTACTTATCTTTAATTGGATGAATATTTCTCACAACTACCACGTGTCACATCTGGTAATTAAAAAACTATTTTAATTTTTAATATAATAAAAACATTTAGAAAATTAAAAAAAAAAAACAATAATTTCTCTTCTTCTTACACCACCGCTGCGCCGCGCCAGCCTTCAAACTCGCTTCAAATCGGTGGCGACGCCATTACCTCGCCGTCTTCTCTTGCTTCGGCACGGTGGTGCTCGCCAACACATCATTGTCGAGATCCATCCGCAGCATTGACAAGGCCACGGTTCTTGTTGCTCTAGTGGACGCTATAGGCTGACACTTGCTTGATCGAGAGCTTAGCTGGTGTTGACAGGATAAATTCTGTCCTCCAAACGGGCGACCTCTTCGTCGTCTCCTTCCTCTCTTCCCCTCCTCATCTGCAACTTTCTTCGAGACAGATTTTGTTTTGCTCTTTTTTTTTTTTTTTTTTTTCCATTTTATTTTTCGTTTTTAAAAGTTGATAACATAATTATTTGTGGAGTGGGAGATTTTGTTTCTTCTGGTCATGCGAACTCCATCTTTTGGTTATCCCATTTCTTAAGCTCCCTTTCCTATATTTTTAAGCTTGCAGATGATGAGGGAAAGACATTGTTACATATGATCGAAAAATTAAGAAGAGTTAGCATTCAACTTGGACACTTTTAACAATGGTGTTAGTGTACACTAATAATTATATATCAAAATACAAACTTTTTCAAACTATAATCATTATAAGTAAATATATATATATATATATATATTGAAACTAATTTAAATATTTAAAATAATACAGAGAACTACTTAATTTATCAGCATAAATAAATAGGGTGAGAAGATAAAATTTATATGATTTAATGTACTACGATGTTTGTATCATTTTTAAAACTCATATATATATATATACATTAATTAAAATTATTTTTATTTTAGTAATAAAATTTCAATTTAAAAATTTTAATATATGGTGATTATTATAACTAAAATAATTAAACTACCACGGAGTGTTTATATTATCTATGAACGTAATAAGTTCGTTAAACTTTATTTGTACTTAAATGTTACAATTCTACTAATTCATAATAGAATATTCGTTTTATTTAAAAACTTAATAGTTAGATGAAATTTATCTCAATTTGATCACTATAACTCTATTAATATATTATTACGATAAATTATTAGTTTTAATAAATTAAATATTATAATTTAGTCATATTCAATTTATAATATGTGTAAAAAAAATGATGAATTTTATGTTTTAAGTAAAAATTAAATTCATAATATTCGAATAGGATATAATGAATGATTTTAATCACTAAATTATTGACTACTAAAATTATTTTTATGTATTATTTTATTTGTTGTCAAATGTATACATGCTGTAAAATCTTAAATATAATAAAAAATAATTTAATATTAAACACAACAAAATTTTGATATGATATAATAAATTAATACAAATACAAAAATTTATTAATAATTTTAAATATAATCAATATTGTTTAGAAAAAGATGTGGAGTAATAATTTGTATTTTAGTTATTGAAAAATATTTGTTTGCATTGTAATTTGATATAAATAATAATAAGCCTTTAAGGGCAATAAATTATATAATTTAACAAAAATATTATATATTTAAATTTAAATTTATAAAATTTGAAAAATACATTCAGCATTTATTATATAAAAATGTTAGACCCATACACATCAGGCAGTCTCTTCCTAACAACAAGAAGGAGACTACTGGCTGAATGAATCACTGGAATCTACTCCACCCCACCACATATAAAAATAAAAAAAAAACCCAATAACTTTAAATTCTAATTTTAATTTTAATTTTAAATTTGAAAACAAACCCATTAATTTACCAAAATAAAAGAATAAAATTGGAAAGAAAATAAAGACAAGCGTCATATATATAACTCCCTCATCTCGCTCCTACATTCCTTTTCATTTTTAACTTTTCTCTCATTCTTCGCCACCCTCTCACCCTTTTCTCATTCTCCCATTCTCTCTCTCTTTCTTCACTACTCCGTCGTCTACCCTCAACACTATAATCACTGTCTATCATCATATCTTTTCCTTTCTTTTCTTCTTCCCCGTTTCTAGGTTTCCGGACCTGTGTTGTCTTTTTCCTCTGCGGAGGTGGATTGTCTGGGTGTTGGCCATGGTGACGATGGTCAAGGACGATTGGGTGAGGGCCGCGATGATGGACGACAGCGTGGTGGTGGAGCTTCTGGTGCGGCTCAAGCAGGCGCAGGCAGCGCCGTCGGTGGGGGTCGCTAAGTCCTCGGTGGCGTCACTCAGGTGGGGAATCCGTCAGCCGCGGTCGCGGTCCCTTAGATGCGACGCCGTTTCTCACAAGAAAGAAGCCGATTCCGCCACCAGAGGCAGTCCTACAACTCCGCTATCCTGGAGCGGTGGCGGTCGCGCTGGCTCTGCTTCGCCTTCTGCCACCGTTGACGGTTTCGAGGAGGCCAGCCGCCAAACTTCACGTTTTCCAGTCGTCGGCACCAGATCCAAGGTTTTTTGTCTCTCTCTCTCTCTCTCTCTCTCCTTCTCTCCATCTGGAACTCTCCTGCTTTCTTCTTGGCGAGCTGATCTCTGTTGTGTGTTAATGGTGTGTTTGTTGTTTGACGGAAATGCCCTTCGAGTAGTGTGCGTCTGGAGTCGAGAGAGGGTTTGTATGAGGAGCGGCGCTGGCGTTTTTGTGTGTGTCCATCGATGAGACATTCTTGTCTTCTAGAGTCCGTTTCCCATGGGTTTTGCTCTTGACCATTTTGCCCTTCTTTAATCTCCTTGTTTTCTCTGGATTATTCGTGCCTCGTTAAGCGATTTTCCCGTTTCTCGATCACCCTTCGCCGAGTCACGAGTCACGACTCACCTTCTTCTTAATCTTCGTCTCGTTTTTATTTTCAAATGAAAATGTCACCGGAAGCAGTTGTCAAGGGCAAATCTGTCCATACACAATTTCTGTCACCTAATTCCTGAGTAGGTTGGAGTTGATCTCGCTTGTGCTGATCGGCAAATAGTCGTCGGCCAGGTATTAGTTATCTTAGAGAGAAAGTGTCATACAGTATTTATTATTTTTATATATATCTGTGTCTATATATGTATATGTGGGTAGATTCTTGATTAGTTGGACGAAAATGCCCCTGCGTGGTTGAGGATTTTCCATGTCACGTGGGGTTCAAGCTTGATGGTGGAGTGGGCTTCTCACGTTTTCTTCTTGCCTCTTTCCGAGTCGCTTGTCAATCCTGAGTTCGCCCCTCCATCGATCGATTCACCTACACAACTCGGCAACTCGCCTGCCCGTTTAGGTTCTTCTGAACTCAGTTTAAGCGCCCATCAATTGGCTATTTTACAAGTTTTACTTACCCCACCGTAAGAACAAGGAACCTTCTCGTGCAGGATCCTAGCCTTTTTTGTTTTCGTCGTGACAAAAAAAGCCCCACCCTCCGCGGTCAAATCTCTCTCCCTTTGTGCTCCCCCGCGAGGGCATTTTGGTCATTAAGCAAAGTGGGTGTGTCGTTGTCAGTACCGGGTGGGACCCAGAGATAGGGGTTCTTGTTTGCGTTTAGTAGCCATGGGTCTTGCGTTTTGGTTTGTTGCGTTGTATATGTGTGTTTGATGGCCCATCATTTATCGCTTGGTATTCGTATTGGCATCCGTTTCTCGTGTTTATCTAAATCTTGTTCTCAGCATTCTTCTCCCTAAGCGACGTCGTTTTCCGGGCACCGGAGCTCTTCAAATACTATTACTCGTAACAATTTTCACTGCCTACTCCTATGTCCAAGCGTTCATGTTTAGTCAATAGATCGCTCGGTGAAGCTGATGGTTTGACAATTTTTTTCTCGTCTTGTATTTAATTATGTTAGAGGAGGATGTGAATGGAGACTTGGGAGGAAAAGGGTTTAAGGCAAGTGCCCCAATATCTGCCGGCCATGTCAAAGGAGGCTCCCTACTCATGTGAGCAAGTCACGTGAGCTTTCCCAACTTTTGTCACGTGCCGCCACGTGGCTCTTGTGATGTGGCGTGTGTCTACTGGGTCAGCAGGGTTAATAAAAAGGGCGGCTTGGTCTCACACGAATTTGTCTCTGTTTCTCTCTCCTTCTCGGCTCTGCTTTGGATTATGATGTGAGCGTTGACGTTCTCTGGTGTGGAAACGTACACCTGGTGAGTTAAATACTGATGGCCAAACCACCTTCGTCATGGGATGAAGCCCAAGATGGAAGATATGAGCGGATGGAGCTGAGGCAATCAGAGATTATTACGGGGTGTGTTTGGATGAGAAGATAAGGGTATATAATGTAATGTCACCTGTGTCATGAACTCATAGGTAGGTCTGTACTCTGTATCTTGTTATTTCTATGGGTCATAATGGTGGAATTGAACTAGGGTTTCTTTATTTTTAGTTCATTTTGTATAATGGGTGCTCATTTTGTGATGCAAGAAAATGGGTCTTTGTTGGTCAAACTCAAAATTGTTAGTGTTAATCCATGCTTGCCAATTTGATCCAGAGTGTCTGTAAGGCATGATATGCGGGATCCGGCTGCCTTGTGTTTGATTTTTTTATTACGCCATACTTTTTGCTTCCCAATTTCATTCATATGTCGCCTAATTTCGGCATGATGGTTTATGCAGGTTTCTCCCATAAATGAAACCACAAGCAGCTCTAACAGAAGATTGAGGAGGAAAAAGGTAAATTTTAAGGGAATTATTACAGAAACTCATCATTGAAATGCAGATATTAGAAGCCTAATCCCTAAATCCATCTCTGTTTTTTGGATGGTTTTCTTCTAGATCATAAGAAATAGCTTGATGGGTCTCTGGATATGGATTCTTTTATTTTGAATTATGAAGTCACTGTGTGTCCTGCATTTCTATGGACTTCAGTCTCAGTTAATATTCATACTTGATTGATGACTTCTCCAGACATTTGCTGAACTTAAAGAGGAAGAGAGTCTTTTGTTGAAGGAGAGGGTGAACTTGAAAAAGGCATGTTCTTGGTTTTCTTTCGCTAATTTTGTTTGTTTGTTTTTTCTAATTTTTAATTGTTACTCTTATCTTACTGTATTATGTATTCTCCAAACAGGAAATAGCAACATTGCGTGCTACTTATAAGGAACAGAGTGCCAGAAATGAGAATTTGAAAAAGATGAAGGTGAGCAAATTTGTTATCATAGATATTCAAACAGAGACTCATAAATTTCTGGACAAGCAATCTTTCAATTTTTGGGCTTAATGAAATAAATTCAGCGAGAATATTTAAAAAAAATGTAGATGAGCAAAAATGTTATGATAAATATTCAAACACGTACTCATAAATTTCTGGATAAGCAGTCTTTATGAAATAAATTCAAATTAATATTCTGCTTTGCAGATTGATTTGAACTTGCAGTGTGCAAAGAACTTGTGTTCGACTTCTGACGAGTCTGAGAAAGAGATATCTGAACAATCCCAGCAGAGAGTAGCCTCTTCTGCTGACCAAGTTCCTACAACCCTATCAAGATATGCTTTGGTTGATGATCATCAACAATCAGATTCTTGTGAGACACACAAGCATGTGCCTGCTGAGGAGGAAGGTCTTTTCTTGCTCCCTGATCTAAACATGATGCCTTGTGAAGACGATTCCGCCATTGAAACTTTATATGGGACAAGCTAGAGAAGGAGGTCATTCTTCATCTCCTAAACTCATAAGCATGTGGCTATATAACCTTCATAAGATTGGTAGATGCTTACCAGAAAAATGACTACTGCTAACACCATGTACATTGGGAAAGAAGGAGGTGTTTGCAGAAGGATGTATAATTTTCGGACTTGATTGAAGTCTCGGGTAATACGACTTCGATATCTGCTTCTTCCTTAAAAAATGGCAAAAGAGGAATTGAAGGTAATGAAGAAGGATTTGAGGGTAGTGTAGAGATCCTGGCCGGTAGATTATAGAGATTCTTGTCATTTTGCAGGTGCCTACTGTTCCTCCGAAATTCTTTGGGGTAAGCCCTCATTACTTCTTGTTTTCGGAATTTACTGCAGAAATAAAAAAGTTTGTTCTCATTCTTTGTAGGGGTAACCAGTTCAAGTTGTTTGAACTCTGTTAAAATCTTTTATAAAACTAAAATTTTATAACTATTCCATCACCCTGTTTTACCCGGGGGTTAAAAAAAAAGTGAATTCCGCCAAGAGGAATCCTGGATAGAGTTCGGTTTTTGTTCTAATGTAATTACACGTGTGTGTGTATAGAGAGAGTCTGGTTGATCAATTTTTAGTTGAAGATGTAGGCAAAAAGGTTATGTTCTATTTGTATAGCCGGGCAGAAGCTCCTTGTTTGGGGGTGTGGTAATTTCGTAAATATCGTTTTACTCTGGCATAATTCCAACAAACGATTCTAGAAAGACTAAATAAATCTAACTGGGTTATTACATTCCAAATTTTGTATTTTCCCTAATTATCTCACTAAAGAATATTTGGTCTGCCGTAGGATTTTAAAGGAGGTGTAGTTCATACGGGTTTCCAACGGTACTTTTTATTTTTTATTTTTTATTTTTTTTTATAGTTATTATCACCTTTTATTTGAAGTAACCTGACTGCTACTTGTAGGGAGATAAAAATTCCTTAATCGGAATCATTTAAATTAACATTTACTGTGGTGTCTCAGATTTTTGTCAGGAAAATTATTACTAATATTCTGACAAATTTAATGGAATCTAACACTATTTAATGTTGTCTAACAAAATTTAACGTGGTCCAACGAGAACTTTGGATGAACCATTTCACATGAAATAATTTCTCATTGAAGGCGACATATTAATTGTTGGCGTTTTTTGTCAAGATGGCAGATCAAGTTTTAGTATATACATATATATATATATATATATATATATATACCAATTTAATATTTTGTGATTTAAAAAAATTATTAATATTTAAAGTATAATCTTCAAATCAAAATTGTTTAAATTTTAGTTTTGCAGCTTTAAAGCCTTTACCTATTCATGCTTTAGAGGTTTTGGTTTCTACAATAATAACATTGCGTTTAGTTCTATTTTGTCATGATCAATATATAATAGATAATTAAATTGATATACTTAATTCCATATTGATAGAGTGTATTCCCATTTGTTGGATGAGAAATTAAAAAAAACATCTAGTCGGAATTAAATATGAAGCTGACTTAAAATTAATATGTTATTTCTATTCAAATTTCTATATCCATTTGTTTTTTTGTTTTTT